TTGCCTGCAAGTTCTCGACAGGTTAGTTGGGTGTTACGATCATTTAAGTTGGGTCAATGCAATTTCGGATTCAGTAGATCTCGAATCAGCAAGAACTGGCAGCCAATGTCAGACCTGACCTATGACGAAACATAAAATACTGTGTTCCTAGGTTGCTTCGCATCAATAAACTTTCATTCCTATTTAGTGGAATGCTTTGGCCTCACCATTCTAGATAACCTCATGCACTTTATGCTTAGCTGTTAATTTTTTGTGTAGTTGTTTTTAATACTGACAACACAGGTACTAGCTAAGAGCCCAGACCCGCGAGTTTCGCCGATCTTGTGCCGCTGTCTGACGCAGCTGCGAAACGTTCAGGTCATCAGTTGCACTCCAGCTTACCCCGTGTGTTTTCCTGTATGCAAAATCCGTTTCCATTCTGCCGTGTTTAATTTCCAATGAAATTAACTCGCAAACTTGGAGTTTGTTCTTCTGAACAGGCCTTTTTAGGAGTCAGTCCAAAAGTTTATGTGAATATTGGAACTGAAATCAATCGGCTTCTGTGGAATAGCAGTGTAATATTCACAAGCCGCTAACATGCGGCCGGTAGTATAGAATTATGTATTTATCTACCAAACCGACAGCATAGGTAGTAACTGTTTTTTATTGATTGAGACCTGCTTCGACGGCTAATGTCCGTTCGTCTCAACGAGCCGGATGAATGCAAGAAGGTAAAAGTGTTACTCCTTTCGTGAACTCTGAGTGGGCATGTATTTCGCACAAAGCGAACTTCACTGTTGTCATCCTAGACAACTAACTACTTTTGCGCTCTACTTTGTTATTATCTTCATGATCAGGCGTAACAATAATGTACTGAACATAGGTCACATTTGTTGTGCATTAGTTTCGTCAGGTGTTATGGGATAATCATGCGTTTGCGCATCCTACGGGACGCAGATGAAATGATTCTTTGTACCAGTTGTTATAATCCAATACATTTTTTAGAAAATGCAATCAAATTCCAAGGCCAAGCCGATGTGGAAAATGTTCTTATTCGCAGTGTTCACGCGCTTAACAAACACCTACGTCCAATTAAAAGGCACATATACGGAACAGTCGTATCAATGGCATTTGGGGATGACATATTTGGGTATCGGTGCCTTATGCCTGAATCCACAGGCGGAAAAACCTACGATTGTAGCGATGTAGCATTAAAAACGTTTTCCCGAATAAACTACGTACGTTAACCTCGTATCCCATCTGCCATTCAGAAATATTTAACAAACCTAACAGATAAAACTCAGGGATGATTGCACTCTAAACGTCCGTCCACGCATTTTTCATTCTAGCTGTTCGAAGTTGAGCGCACTTCTACAAGAACACTTTTACGGCCTTTCGGTTACATCAAAGCGCGCATTTCGATTCGGCTGGAAGCGGCGAGCGTAAATTCCACTTGCACAATTGATACTCTGTCTTTCACGAAGACAGTTGAAGAAAGGATTGAGAACATCAGGTTGCCCATCGGATATGTTTCCGCAAAAAAATTAAAGGAAGGAATCAACGCAACTCTTGACAACTTGCAGAAGGCTATGCCACTTGTTTGCCAAAGTTCGAAAACCGAATGTAAAAAAACGAAATAATATATTTGTTTGTATATTCGTTTTTTGTTTTTTTCTGGTGTTTAACTAAGAAATTTGCCATTAATTGACTTCTTAAGTAGATAAGGGAAAAACCGAAAAAACGATTAGCAATAATTATTAATCTAATGACATATTGAGATACAACATTTTTAGAGTTTAAAAAATTTACGCTACTGCGTTTATTCAGGTGGGCGCAAAAACTAGTGATCGCCTAACTCTCCATCTCATCGATGACTGCACTCTTCGCAAAACCTCTCAATGCGGTCAAAAAAGGCATTTCACTTGTTTCAGTCTTAAGTGCTATA